CTGTAATACATACAGCTCCTTTGAGCATCAAGCCCCAGAGAAAGGAAACACAGAATGACTGGGAGGATTAAAGAAATGAAACAACCTTACAGACCTTACACTCTGAAAATAGACTCAAACACAATGTTTGCCTGTCCTCCTTTTGTGGATTTATTAAATGATCGTATTTAAAAAGACAGTAATGTGTATAAAAATATCACAAAATTCTGCTACGACAATCTACAAAATGAAAATACAAATGTCTTGGTGAAAGTTTTCTTATATTCTGCTTATGTAAAAATGTTTTACGAATACAACATCACATCTTTTTTTATGACACCTGGAATAAATATATTTGGGGTAATATTTGGCATTAATTTAGGGAACTAAATTTACAAATAAAACATAAATCTGTTCTAGTTACAATGATTTTGACTAGTTGTGATGCCAAGTAGTGTCTAGTCCGACAGGTTGATGGTTTGATTCACGATGCTTCCTGAAATTTTGATGGTTTTTGACCCTAAAGAAACAAAGATAAAAAGAAAGGAAAAGCAAAATAAGTTTTTATCACCACAATAAATAAGTCATGCTAAACATTTTTATGACATTGTTCAATAACCAATGATAAATTGAATTTAAGAGTAACAACTTGGTCCAGTTTTAGAACCTATGACCCAGAGCTGTTGTGTTCACTTGAGGTCGGACTCGACATGACTTGACCCTGTAATGGACTGGTAATCTATGTAGGGGGTCATCCAACAACTACTAGAAATTGGCACCAACTAGTGACCATAAAACTGAATCAAGTGGGCAGAAAGATGGATGATCTTGTCTTGGGATGTAACTTGGAAACGGTTTTGATCCTATTAGTTTTTACTTGGGACTTCAGTTGATTTTATAGTTTTAAATGGGGGTCTGATCTAGGGGGCTGTGGTACCTTGGTGGTCAGTGCCACAATCTAACAGTCCTAACACTGCAGGATTGAGGCCAGGTTATGTCAGAAATGGCATCTGGAGTAAAACAATTGCCAAATCTCTCATCTGAGTTCCCTCACTCTGGCAACAACAAGGGGAGCAGCAGAAACAACAAATGGGGGTCTGACCTGTAGGACCTTAGGATTTATTGATCTTGTCTTGGGACTGGATTTGGAGTTTGATGGTCTCCCTTGTTAGTTGTAACATGAACAAGTCCACATAAAAAGAGCTGGTTTAGATTTTACTGTAAAATTATTTTAAAAAATTTTGTGACTGTAGCAAGAGACACACAAAATAAACAAAGTTCAATTTACACAGTTTAAAAATGGGAAATGAAACTTAATTTACATTGTGTTGAAGAGATAAAATGTGTGAAATTTTTTAACAATCTCAATGTGACAATAAAAAACTCTGCAGCAAAAATTTAAATCAGTCAGATGGAAAAAAAAAAAAAAACCTGAGGCGTGACTATACACACGCTTGCTGGCTACTTGAAATGTCATATAACAGTTTGTTCAAAAGCATGACAGCTTTGACAGGAAGTGGGCATCCTGTGTGTGTTTCAGTTTGTGTGTTTTCTGTTTTCAGTCTATGTGGGGTGATAACAGGAATTTGGTTTCAGTGGTTTTCATTTGCTCAGCCTGTAGTTTCATTTGTGTTCACTGACCTGAAACGCAACACTACTCAAACCTACAGGAACTCTAACTTCAGCTTATAGTTTACTGACAGCTTAGAAAAAATACAAAGTGGAATTTTCCTAAATATGTGCACGTGATTTTAAAATCACCAGCTTAATTAATATTTACCATTTTTATTTATATTTACCTTTACTTTTTGGAAAATTCAAGTGACTGAAATATTACTAGATCCCATGGTAAATGGACTGTGCTTGTATAGCGCCTTTCTACCCAACCAGGATACTCAAAGCACTTCACACTACAATCTGTGTCCTCATTTACCCATTCACACAGCACTCTATTAGATATCCCACAAAGCTAACATGTACAATCAACTATGGAGACTAATCATCAAGGTACATGAGTTGTCTCCACACTTTAATTGACTGATTTTGAGAAACAAGACAAAACCCAATTAGGGCCAAAAGACAAAGGTCAATATTATGGAAATATTATATCATGATAAAAGGTCATGTTTGGTCTACAGTTAGGATTAGCAAGTTTCAAGTCAACATCATACAAGTCACAATGTAAGAAAGGTCAAGACACAAGATAAAGTCACAAGACAAAATGTAAAATGTGAATGCTAAGACAGTTTTTGCAAACACAGGATGTCATCATGTTTCAAATCAAGGTAATACGAGATCATAAAATTTCAAAACAGTATTCAAATGTAAAGTGCCAAGTCAGGTTCAAAGAGAAGGAAAACAATTTTAAAGACAACGGCCTAAGACAAAGTTAAGAAGTAACAAATCAAGTTCCAAGACAAAGTTAATAGATCTCGAGTCAGGTCCCAAGTTAAGTTAAATAAGTCCATAGTCTAAAATCAATGAGTCCCAAGACAAAGCTGAGAAATTCTAAGTCAGGTCTTAAAAATATATCAACAGAGCCAGCAAAGACAAGGCAAGACAAATTAAAAAGTTTCAAGTCAAATCACAAGACAAAAACAAGATAAACCACAATGCCACCAAGTCTATGAAGTAGCTGGGGAAACAGTTTTCAAACTTCATTCATCTTTCGGTTCAATACTGTAGCTAGACTAATGAAAAGTCCTATCTCTGTTGAGCCATGTATCCCTCTATCCCTAAGTAGTGATGACTTCATGAGATTCTTTATAGATAAAATAATTTTAATAAGTGATGAAATTCATGCCCAACTTCCTGCTACTGTCTCTGATTCTCTGTCAGATGAGGCAGCTTTAGTGCCACTAGAACCTGATTTATGTCTGGACAGTTTTTGTCCTGTTAAGCTCTCTGAATTATCTAAAATAATAGCTTCATCCAAACCATCAACATGTCTGCTAGATCCCATCCCAACCAGACTGTTCAAAGAAGCATTTCCCTTAATTAATATCCATATTTTAGATGTACTTAATTTATCTCTAATGAATGGTTATGTGCCACAGAGCTTTAAGGTTTATGTAATTAAACCTTTACTTAAGAAACCTGATCTTGATTCAGGAGTTCTGGCCAACTACAGACCTATATCTAATATCCCATTCATCTCAAAAATTCTTGAGAAAATAGTTGCAAATCGACTATGTGAACATCTGGATAGAAATAATCTATATGAGGAGTTTCAGTCAGAGTTTAGAGCTCATCATAGCACAGAAACAGCACTGGTGAAAGTAACTAATGATATTTTCATGGCCTCAGACAGTGGACTTGTGTCCATTCTTGTCCTTTTAGATCTCAGTGCTGCATTTGATACAATTGATCACAATATTTTATTATGTAGACTTGAACTTGATATTGGGATTACAGGAACTGATGGATTTCAGTTTGTTAATGTTAATAATGAACATTCTTCTTACACCAGAGTTAGTCATGGAGTTCCTCAGGGGTCAGTGCTTGGACAAATCCTCTTTACTTTATATATGCTTCCATTAGGTAAAGTTATTAAACAGCATGGGATAAATTTCCATTGTTATGCTGATGATACTCAGTTATATTTATCCATGAAACCTGATGAATCCAACCAGTTACTTAAACTACAAGCATGTTTTAACAACATAAAAACATGGATGACTCTTAACTTTCTGCTTCTAAACTCAGATAAGACAGAGGTTATGGTTTTTGGACCTGAACATCTTAGGGATCAATTTGTAGCCTTTCACCTTCTCTGGATGACATCGATCTGACCTCCAGTTCTGATGTAAAGAAGCTTGGTGTTATTTTTGATCAGGACATGTCTTTCAACCCCCACATTAAAAATGTTACCAGGACAACCTTCTTCCACCTGCGTAATATTACTAAAATTAGAAACATTTTGTCTAAAAATGATGCAGAAAAACTGATTCATGCATTTATCACGTCTAGACTGGATTACTGTAATTCTTTATTATCTGGGTCCAAAAAAACTCTTTAAGAAGTCTTCAGTAATTCCAAAATGCTGCTGCTAGAGTTTTAATGAGAGTTGGAAGGAGAGATCATATTTCTCCAGTTTTAGCTTCTCTCCACTGGCTCCCTGTCAAATTTAGAATAGAATTTAATATTGTACTTCTTACATACAAAGCTCCAACCAAGCTCCATCACTGGTGGCTGTAGCAGAGTGGTTTGGGGAGTCATCCTGGAACCAGAAGGTCGCTGGTTCGATCCCCCGTCCAGCTGTCTCAGATGTTGTGCCTTGGGCAAGACACTTCACCCCTAATGCCTTTGATGTGTGTACCATCAGTGTATGAATGTGATTGGCACTGATTAGTCTCCATAGATGATTGTACATGTTAACTTTGTAGAGACCTAATAAAGTGCTGTGTGAATGGATAAATGAGGACACAGATTGTAGTGTGAAACACTTTGAGTATCCTGGATGGATAGAAAAGCGCTATATAAGTATAGTCCATTTATCATATAATAAACATCTTATTGTTCCATACTTTCCTAACAGAGCACTTCACTCTCAGACTGCAGGTTTACTTGTTGTTCCTCCAGTTTCTAAAAGCAGAATGGGAGGCAGAGCTTTCAGTTATCAAGCTCCTCCCTTGTGGAACCAACTTCCAGTTTCTGTCCGTGAGGCCTGACACTCTGTCTACTTTTAAGATTAGACTGAAGACTTTCCTTTTTGATAAATCCTATAGTTGGACTTAGGTTTCCTGAATTATTCTTCATTTCTGCTGCTATAGGCTTAGACTGCTGGAGCACAAACTGAGCACATTTCTTCACTCTGCTGTTGTCTTTAGTCTCTCTTCTCTACATGTTTATTGTAATTATTTCTATCAATAACATGTTTTTTTCTTTTTGTCTCTTTTCCAGAAGAAGGTGCACCTGGACCAGTTCTTCTGTCTCCCTCTATGTCTCTTTCTTGTCCTCCAACCCAGCCGGTCGAGACAGATGGCTGCCTGTCCTGAGCCTGGTTCTGCTGGACGTTTCTTCCTGATTAGCAGGGAGTTTTTCCTCTCCACCGTTTGCTCAGGATGGGAGACTGTGATGAAGTGATTCAACACAATCTGCTGGTTTCTTCTTTAGATTGTTCTTCTTTTGTGTACAGTACCCTGAGACAGCGTATGTTGTGATTTGGCGCTATATAAATAAACTGAATTGAATTGAATTGAATTGAAGAGAATTTCTTACATCCGTGTTCGGCAGAGTGATGGTCAGCTCTGTGTGGGTCTTCATGTTCAGCCTCAACTTCTTCTTCCACAGATAATAAAACTCAACACACTCAGACAGGGACTTTGACTGAACCTAAATACACTCAGACAATAAAATACATCATAATTACAATTTTCATCATAATATATTCTGTAGATAATGATGTTGATAAAAATAAATATATAAACACAAATCACTTTTCAGTTGGTTGGTTACAGTCATGCTACAAAATCCTCCAAGTGGCCAGTATCATGGTCAATGGTTGTGAATAATTACAGAATTTTTTTTTGTCAATTGCTATTAATTCCACACAACAAGTTAATACCAAAACTAGAAACTCACAATTTTCTGGATGCTGTTGAAGTCTTTCTGATGGAGATTCAGGGATTTAATCAGCAGTTTCTTCTCTGCTGCACTCCACCAGGAACCTTCAATACATGCTTAATCTAAGTGTTTTTGTTTGCAAAGCTATTTACTATCATAAAATGAAGGTTTATTTAAAGATTAAATAAAGGAGTAACAACTAACCACACTGATTGTTGGAGGTTTCAGGAGTTGACAGTAGTCTTTCCACCGTCAGCTGAGGGAAAAAAATAATTATTGTCCCAATTACCTGTAAATGTTTTTGGACTCAGCCTTTAGAACACTCATGTTCATTTTTCAATATGCAATAAAAACTAAATCTCTTTTCTTAAACATTTTATCAAAATGACCAGACAGAATCTTTTTTTCACTGCATCCTCACTGAAAAGCTTATTACAGGAATTATTGTTCCAAGTAATAAAAAGTAAAAGCAGCAGTGCAGTTCAATGGTAAATGTTTTTCCTCATCTGGTTTAGATTGCTTTCACTATCCAGTTAAAGTTGTTGAGTGGTCAATGCAAACACAAAAACTTTTTTTTAACTAGGTACTTAAGATAAGAAAGTGATTGACAGTGTAGCATAATACTCTCAGCTTTTCAGAATGTGACTATGTGAAAAGCTTTACAGATATAAAACACAAATTTCACTTGTTAAAAATTTTTAAATGTTAAGAAATGTCATAATTCCTCAGAGTAAAATACTATAATATATACTATAATATTTTGTATCTAATTTTCTAAAAAAAAATATATATATATATATATATATATGCATAGTTTAAATTTTAGTCCCAAACAGGTTTTACCAGGAAGTCTCCTCTGGACTCTAACAGGAGTTGGAGGGCACACTCTGGACTCGCCTGGCATCTTGGTACCACACTGGACCGGGTCATCAGCAGCAGAGTCTCAACTGCAGCAACAATGTAAAGTAAAATAATCTGTTTGAGAAACATGTAGCCAACAAAAATTAAATAATTTCAGAGTGTTTTTTTATAAGTTGTTGACCTCTCTGTTGATTGATAGGATGTTCCAGCTCGTCATATGGCGTCCACAGCAGCAAGGCATTGTGGGAGTCAGTCTGAGCATGTTTTTTGTCTTGTAAGGGTGAGATCTCAGCCTGAAATCTTTGCCCTACATTAATCCTCCTGTAAATGGCAGCTCTTGGTTACGATGCTGTCAGTAAATTAGATCATTGAAAAAAATTACATATATACATACGGCTTGATGACGTTTGATGCTAAAGAACCAAGTGGAGGACAGGCTGTTGCCACTGAAGCAGGGTCACTTAATTCATCTATCAATTAAAGACACACCTTAATACTGCCACTTGTCCCATCAGTTTTACTTGTTAGCATTAGTTACTACGACTCACTTTTTTGCTGGATTGTCTGCACTCTCTGCTTCCTGTTGGTGGTGAGGGAGTAGTGCAGCCCTGACCCTGCCCTCTGAGGACACAGCATCGGTGGAGGGGTGTAATGACCTAAATCTGCTGTGATTATTGATCTGCCATCCTTATTGCCTCTAGCAACAGCTTCCTGCTGCTCCTCCAGGTGCATTAGGCTGCGATAGAGCACAGCGCCACTGATGGTCGAAGGGAGGAGGCTGCATTGCTTCTGCTCAGACGTTCCTCTTGTTTGGACAGGGATGGAAACTGGTATCACCATGGACACTGGGTTTAAAGTAGGTGGTGAGCTTTCCTACAGAAATATAACCAAGAAACACTGATTACAGCTTCATGCAGGCACCAGTTGGGAGCAGGCCTTCTGACTGATTATAAAGGTGTAGAAATTATGTTTATGCAACCAAAGTGTGCTTACGGCCTTTTCTCCAAAGTCAGACTTGTTTTTACAAAGCAAACTATTGTGTTTAAGGCTTAGGCTTTGTTTAAAAGCTGTAATAATTTTCTCAAGTTAGTAAATGTATCTTATGGTAACGTAGACCTTTTTTAGCAGTGTCGGTGACCTGAAGCCACTGTGGGAACGCATGTGGCCGTTTAATGCTGGCAAGCTCTTGAAGTCACGGTTACACACTGTACACAGCAGCCTGCAGGCACAAGACAATCATAGTAAATAAAAGAAAAATGTACAAAGTATTTTGTTATGGATGAAAATAAGAGAGGTTACCTAGTGTCAAGACGTTTTGTGCTTCTTTCTTGTTGAATCTGTTTAACCTGAAAATCATCAAAGAAAAGAAAAGAAAAGAAAAGAAAAGAAAAGAAAAGAAAAGAAAAGAAAAGATGAAATATATTCAAAACTAACTGATGTACTTAATATTAAGATGACTGAAAGAAATAATTTATAATATACCTGAAAAGAACCATTTCTTTTTTAATTTCCCACATTTATACATACATCATTTTCACTTTCAAAATAATAGCCAAAAAAATTTTTTAGAATACCCAAACCGAATCTGGAGGATTTTCTTTTCTTGCCGTCCTTTTTCTTCTTCTTTCACACTCCTCTTTATGGGTCATGTCAATTGGAAGGCCCAGGGTTGGACCAGCACAGCTGACATTCGGCCCTGTTTCCTGAAGAGAGGAGCTGGTTTCGAGTGTTTCAGCACATTTTAGAAGGCCTGCCAGGTCCTCAGTGAGTTCTGTTTGGCACATTAGATGGTGTCGGCTTGTCTGATGAAGTTGTTGCTGACCCAGATCGGAGATTTCAAAGTAGTTGTTATCATCATTCAGACAGTAGCTTGAGTTATGATTCCTGCTCTCCTGTATGGATTTTTGTTTTTGAAAACTTTTTGTATCTGCTACAAGATGCAGTGGAAGGCCTGGACTGGAAACAGCTGGGGTTTGGGGATACTGAGGACTTGGACCGGGGGTCAGTGGGCTACAGAAGGGCTGTTTGGCATAATTTTCATAGTATCTTTCATTAAAGAAATTGTTGGGATGGAAGTCCTGAGAAGATGAGCTCAAGTCAACTGAGCTCCATCTCTCCACTGTACCTCCTGCAGATGTGGAGCCCAGTGAACGGTGCTGCACCTGGGACAGGGTTGGTATCAGAGCACCCCAGGAGTGCTGAACTGGAGCAGGTGAGTCACTCTGTTCAAACATGCCACTGACATGATTTGCATGAGTTTCATAAAGTTTGTTTGTGCTCTCAAATTCCTCTCTGTGGCGAGTCTCACCAGTATTGAACTGGGTCTGGTTCTGGAGATCCAGGTCAGATGTCTGGTTCTGGTTCAGGTCAGAAGCAAAAGTGTTATCAGGGCGCTGTCAGAATTGTTGGTAGTTCTGTTAGTTTCAGAAGTATTATTCTTACCTGATAGGGAAAACTGCCACAGTTGTAAAAGCAGGAAAGGTCTGAGGAAGACTCACATTTATTCCAGTCGGTATAATCGGACTCTGTTACAGAACTTTGGTTGTAGAGTGGGGGCTGATGTTGGGGTAAAAGGTTAGGAGAGGTAACAAGGGGACTATTGAGGAGAGGGGAGTTTACCTGGAGAGGAGCAAGGTCATGAGGGGAGTTAATTTGAGATGAAGGGAGGTGAGGAGAGCTTATTTGGGGTTGATAAAAGAAATGGGAGGAGGATACCTGTATCTGTGGTGATAGGTGAGAGGAGGTTACCTGGGGTTGGGGAAACTGAAATGAGGATATCTGAGTCTGGGGTACAAAATTAGGGGAGGTAGCCTGGGGTGGACACTGATGGGGGGAAGTTACCTAGAAATGAAGAAATGGAGTTAATTTAAATAACTCAATGAAAAATAAGTGCATGTGTTTTGAAACCAGGAAATGCATGAAGCATTAGTAAATACACAAACAACTGCAGCACATTAAGTACAGTAACTGTTAACATAAATAAGTACCTTGGTAGGAGAAGGGTTTCTGAATGACAATGTGGAGGCCAGGGGAGGAAGTGACTGAGAAAGAGAGGCGTGATGGGCGATAGGAGGAGTCGCTGCTGAAAACGTCCACATGTCAGACATGTTTTTGTGCATACAGACACTTAATTTTCATGAATGTATGTATGCATGCACGTATGTGTGTTCATCAACATGATTATGTGAGCAGCAGGTGGTGTTTATCTGGATGACAGCCTCATCAAAATCTGTAGGGTAACAAAATGAGTCTGGTCAGGAACCTATCAGATATGAAGTAAGTTATTAATTTTATGTTGATATCTGAAACTAGTAAGCCTCTCTCTCTTTTTGGACGTTTAGAAATCATTACTGGCCAAATAAAAACACTTGTCTCTACGTGGACATAGTGTGGACACTTCAGTGTTGTTATCATGAACACTTTGGAGCTATGCTTTTTCTATTTGTTTGATTGTTTCCTCTGTATAGAGATGTCTATATTTAATTTAACTGACTGTAAAGATCTGGGATTGCCTTTTGTTTTCTCAGTAGACACAGATGTTTGGAGAGCATAAAGAAGTGTCATTGGTAAATTTTTGTGATGACATTTTTGTGGTCATGATTGCTTTTTTAAATTTTGAAATCATGACAATTAGGTAACATAGTTTTAGGTAAACTTTTTAAATTGTCTTCACCATTCAAATTAACATGAAAAAGTCTTTTTTTTTAACTATTTTTCATGGATAATCTGATGAATAAATAAAATAAAAATATTTACTCTGTAATATTTTAATGCAAAGAAAAAATAAATGTAACAATTGTATGAAACACTGATTTCTGATGAGACACTGCAAAAATTTGCCATCTAAAAATAAAAATAGATTATTCTCTGAATATTTTTAAATTAATAATTAATAATCTGCAGGGTGACAGTTGCACTTGGTAAGACTTCTTGAAACAAAGAAAACTTTTCAGGTTAACAAGATTAATAATCAATATATTCATCTTTTATCAGTTTCTAAACAAGATCGAAAATACATTTTAGCTAATGTAAGATTGTAACACTTGATTCGATGAACAGTTTTTATGCAGTAGAGTGACTGTCGCTCAGAAACATTAACAGATTAAATAACCTCCACTTTAAATCTAGTAGGAACCAAGTTAATTTCAGAGCACGTGTTACCATGAAAACGTATATTCTTCTCCTCCCATGCAATCGATTCAAGGCTAAATTAATTCAGTTTATTCCAAAATCCCAGCTTGATCTCTAATCCGATTCAAGCAATAGGCTCCTGATGTTCAAATGACTGTCAACTGTGAAGATCAGCTAGACTTTCTGCTCATTGGAGGATGGAATAGAATAAAAGATACTTTGAAGTAGCTTTTCAGTCTGACCTTCGGAAGGTGTTCAAGGGATCCCTGATTAGTTACATTAGACTTTATTTGATAAACATTTATTTTAACTGTAAAATGAAGACTATAAAAATGCTGTAGGCTGTTTAGTTTTGTACATTTTTAAAAATAAATTTTAACATGGATGGAGCCATTTTCTTTACATGCAAAGCATTCTGGGTAAATGATGACGTGGATAGGTCCTTGGTGTGAGCGAGCTATATCCACCCTGAATGGTAAAATGGTAAATGGTACTGAACTTCTAGAGCGCTTTTCAAGTTCCTCCGGACCCCAAAGCGCTTTACACTAACAGACATTCACCCATTCACACTCAC